ACATACGACCGAATTCAGTCTGGAAGGTAGTATGCCAAATTTGGTTCAGATCGGTTCAGATATAGCTATAGCTCCCATATATATTGTTCATCCGATTTGTTGTATTTGTCCTCCACAGCCGTAATATGCACTCCGTAACAACGATATTCAGGGAAATATATCAAATACAGCTCAGAAATATCTTTGCCAAGTTTTATCGAGATCGGTTCAGATTTGGATATAGCTCCCATATATATCTTTATCTGATTTCAAATTAATTTTGCACCAAATGGGCAATACAAGTCCGAATTTAAAAGATACAAATGTTTCGGCATATTTAGTCCCTCGGCCCCGCCCGACTTTAGGACTTTATTTACTGGTTTTACTTGTTTTACATTTAAAACGCCTCGTTGGAAGTTGCATATCATCAGCTTTCCATAAAGGGAATTAAGGGAAAAATAGGACTAATAAAGACCGTACCGTAGTTAAGACTCATTTCTTAACTCAAGATCTTCAAGACGATTAAAATCTTCAAAACTTTAAACTGTTTTTGCACGACGATTACTGATACGTTTAACTATACACCCGCCTGGCATCAAGAGCTAAAATTCTATTTTGCCATTTTAACTGGATCTTGTTAGGCTTAAAGCCGTAAGATATACCTTAAGGATATAGCTTAATTTTTGGAATCTAAAATGTTTCACTCTTATATTTTATATTTATGTTTCACTCTTATATTTTAAGCCACATGGTCATTAGTTGATTAGGCCTTATAGAAGAATCTACAACAAGTTGAAGTTTAGGGACGAACGGATATAACCTTAAACTAATTCAAAAACTATGAGTTATATCTGGTATATATATCAGGTATATCTGGTATTCAGATAAAGAAAATCATACATTAACACTAATCTTTTATCTTTTTAAAGCCACCTTCTCTTCACCCTTCTTAATGGCAGTCCTCAAGGATTGGAATGTGGTTTGATAGCTTAAAAATGTAATGAATCGCTTTTAAATAGAACAATCGTCGGATCAACATTAAAAATAGATAGACAAGGATATCGTGACATCTTGCTTAACCGTACCTCTAAACTGATAAGATGTTTTTTTTAAACCCCAAGAACTACAGATATATATTTTACCTCCCGATTTTTGAGCTAAGTCATTGAACACGGTTTTGTGCAACAAGAGCAAGGCGGGTGATAATACATAAGTCTTAAACTCGACAGCTTCACGTAAGCGAATCGATTTAAAATTCGTCTTAGAACCAGGCGAAGCGTTTTTACCTAACCCAACCTGACACTTTTTAGATCAAAAGTACGGTTTTTAATAACTACGGACATTTTTTTATTAAAATGGACACGTTTTGTTAGTACTAGTATGTTTTGCATTCTTATTTGATAGCAAAATAATCCAAAAATTTCTAAAATTTTGTGACCATGATATTGAAATATATTCGTGGTTTAAATTTAAATAAGTACAAAAAAATCAGTCGGTTTTCCGACAGATATTACCCCAGTATTTAACCTTAGACCTTTACACTAGATCTAATTTTAGTACTAATATAATTTCGTAACAAATTCATGAATGCTATGATTAATGTCTAATTGAGCACAGACAAAGTTTGGCTTTTATCGCCTGCTCAATTCGCTCTAAATTTTGTGGAGAAGATACTGGCGAAATGGAAAATATGTTCTCATTTTTACCCAAGCCCCAATACAGACAAAAATATTTATATGTGAAAAATTTGACGAAAATCCGACATTAATTTATTATTATAAACAATTTGAATTATTTGAGGGAGCTATAAGTAGGAGTGCTTCATATGGTCAATTTTTGAAAAATGAAAATCGAACTATTATGTTCGATTTTCACACTTGTTCATAAGTGCAACATTTTGACATTTAGTAAGTTTGAAGGAAATCGCACTTCGATTTCAAATTGTTTTTTCATTCAAAAAATCCGTAGAAAAATACCTCTCAAATAAAACCCTTTATATGGGAGCTATATGAAGACGTTGTCCTTCATAATTAATTTATAACGCCGATTCCGAAATTCGAATACGAAATTTGAAACAATTCCGGTGAAAATGGCGCTCAAATCATCAAAATATGGAATATAGGGAGGTGTCGTTATATGAGGGCTATACGAAGAAATGCATAAGCGATTTTTGTAATAGTCTCCTTACGAACTTTAAATGCAAAATTTGAAACAATTCACCTTTGGCACATTATGCCCTTCAAACGGCCAATGAAACCGTCACACGCTGCCCAAATGTTGCTCTGCGGTATTTTGGCCCATTCCCGGCGAAGCGCTTGCTTGAGGTGACCGACACCTTGCTTTCCAAAATACTCCATACAAAAACAATCCAACCGATTGGTATTCGGAGTTTTTGGTGGCCATTGTGTGCTGGAAATGAAGCGAGGAACCTAATTTTGTAACCATTCTTGGGTGGCGCGTGCTGAGTGCGATGGCGCTGAGTCCTGTTGGAATGTCCAAGGTCTACTGCCAAAATGTTTGCGTGCCCAAGGCTTTAATACACCCTCCAGAATATTTTCCCGATAATATTCGCCATTTATTCTGATGCCACGGTCTATAAATACGAGCGGAGAGCGACCATCGGTCGTTATAGCTGCCCACACCATCAGCATGGCCGGCGCTTGAGTTCTGGTGGCCAACCTATGGTGCATATTTCAGCTGACCTCTTTGGCAAGTAAAAATGATCATTTTGTTTGTTTACAAACTGCTGAAACCCAAATTCGGCAGTTCACCACTTTCGGCCAAGCGAAGCAACTCTCTAGCACTTTTGAGTCTATTTTCTGTCAGTTGCGGTGTAAGTTCTTGCACTTTTTGGAATTTCGATGAGCTCGGGGTAACTCATTTTTCAATATTTGCCGAAGGGATTATTGCAATATGTACAGCTCACGAGCCATTTTTCGGCCACTGCGACACGGGGTTCGATCAAGTCGCTTCTTTACTTTTCGAACCATTCTTGCTGATGTTGCTGTTTTCTTCCGTTCACTTCCTTGACGTCGGGCTACGCTACCAGTATCACGGAGTGCTCTTACGATAGCCACTTGTGGTTTTCTGACCAAATATAAAGAAATCACATTATCACGCTTGAACTCCATCACGAATAACTTTTGTTCTGCTTTTGTACGCTTGTAATCAATATAATGAGCTGTAACTGGAATAATTTTATCAGATGTCGGACTAGTGGCTTAGAAATGACAGCAGTTTGAAGTTGGTTGCAGTTTTTTCATTTCACCCTGTAGATTGGAAACTATCAGCAGATATTGCTCGATTATTTTTTTTTTTCTGTCTTGGATACCATGAATCATTAACATCCGAAAAAATGTCTTATCGCTTTATATCAATTTATTTTGATGGTAGTGTGATATCACGTATTAAATAAAATATATACTCTATATATGTTTTTAATATACATTTTTGGAAATGCCTTAAACTATTTTTTTTAGAAACATTTTAACCAGTTTGGAAGGTTTGTATTTTTGCAAAAATGTTAATATTTACAATTGTTCTCCTATATAATTACTAATTCCGTGGGACCCAAACATATCTGCTACTAGATATCTAAGCAATTTCACTATAAATCAAATGATTAGCTTCTAATACACGTTGATAACTACATTTCGGCTAAGTTTGGCTTATTGGTCTGGTGCCCTGTGGATTCCATTTCATGCCTTGATACTTTACGGTATATAAGCCATATTTTCCTATTAAGGTCTATGAGATAATATAGCAACGTAATCTTACTATAAGCAAGACATGTCTGCTTCAAAATAGCTCTTAAGGCTTTCAACTACACCTGTTCTGCAGAGGATTTCTTTCAAATTAAGTTCTCCCAAACGGGACTTAAATGTACTCCGATATCTTATATCTGCAATGATTTAAATTTAATCAATGAACTTAAACGAAAAATACCAATGAAAATCCCATTTCAAGTAAAAGGATTCATTGAGTAGCTCAAATTGATCAATGGGATCAGGCTGAAGCTACCTGCAGAGCAGCGGGCAGCGGCGGGGGACCCTAAAGGCATACAAATATTTATGTACGCCATAATTAAAAACGGTATAGAACAACAATACTACAACAACAGTGTGAAGAACCACCATAAAAGGTGTAGGGCAATGAAAAGAAAGAAAACCACAGGAACAGGACGCTGTTGACATTTGGGAACAAAATCATATAAAAAATTATGGAAATCATAAAAATTTATGATGGCGTTAAACGAGATGCAGGTAAAACAAATGAAACCACAAGACAGCAGAGGTGAGACAATGTGGTGTGAAAGAGAAAGGATGTGTGTGAGTTTGAGGGGAGGGGAAGGGAAGGGAAGGCACATTGAGTGACAATGACAAGATCATCATGTCACAATACATGTAAACATGTGTTAAGGATATTAAAGTGATGTTAAAATAATTTTCATATATATTTTTTTTTAATTGAGTAACAAAATATTTACCCATGAGCAAAGGGAGAAAAATGTAGAAAGAGAGAGAGTAGAAGAAAATAAGGAGAGTAATTATTGGACAAACTGTTTGATTAATGAGTTTTAACACTACAAATAGTGTAATGGTGTGTGCAAGGACTTGCATTACAAATACTTAGACAAAAATCTTATTCCATATATATAGAGAGAGAGGAGAATGAATGTAACACCCCTTTGTAGATAATAGAGAAATTGGTCGAAGGATGGCTGATGGATTGGTGCCAGGGGAAAGTATGACTGCGTATGTGTGCACAGATAAACCTACCTGTGTGATAAGTGCAAACTCAAAAAGAACCAACCCTCTTTGACACCAACACACACACACATACACATGGGCATTTATACCTCTCCTTTGCGATGGGAGTGAAAGAGAAGCATCACACTGAGCCTGTGTATGAAAACTCAGGGGGTTGTATATCCCTTGGCATGCTTGCTGTTTCACTCAGACACTTGGTTGGCCTCAGCCGTATAACTGTTATAATTGTATTTAATGCTAATGTTTTAACCATTCATTGCTTAGTCGGTGGTTAATGGTCGTAACGAACATTACATCCTTCGCAAAGGAGAACACAAAAAATAATTGAACAAAAGAAAATTTCAACCACAGAAAATTTTTGTTTTTTAATGAAAATAAATTAAAGAAAAATTATTCATTATTGATTTTAATAAAAAGATTGAAAAACACGAAAAGGAAATAAAGATTTCAACAACATCAGTGTTTAAAAAGTGCAATTATTTCTTAAAAAAATTTAAAGTGAGAAAGAAAAAATTGTTAAAAAATTAAATGTTTTTGTAAAATCCAAAAGAATTTGGTTTGAAAATAAAAAAATTAAGAAATTGTGTATAAAAAATAAACATCTACTTGATATATTATAATGATGACCACAACTGCACCTCATGCTATAATGGCTCCCGTAATACGCCCTCTACAAGAAAGTCCGGTCTCGCGGCCACGTGCTGTCTACAGCATTGATCAAATTTTGGGAAATCAAACTAAACGAAGTGGTAAGTTTTCAAAAAAAAAAACTTAAAAAAAACTTTAAAATCTCGAAATTGTTAGAAATTCCGACGGCTCTTTTGTGAGAAGGATGGATAATTTAAATGGAGTGTTGTGGAACACTCCAATATTTTTTTATTTGATTTCATTTCAGTAGAAATTGTTGAATAATTTTCCAATTTTTTCAAGGATTTGAATTTATGTTTTTGACATTTAAAAGGCGTTAAATCTGAATCTATGAAATATTAATAAAAGTTCAATATTTATGAGGATACTTCGTTGTACTTCTTTCTGATCAAAAATTAAATTTGTATCGGATTTTGAATTTTTGATATTGACATTTGGAAGGCTTTAAATTTGAATCTATTAAATATTAATAACAGTTCAATATTCTGTCTGATCAAAAATTCAATTTGTCTTGAATTTTGAATAAATAAAAATTAAATTTTTATGAGGATATTTCAATCCACTTCTGTTTGATCTAAATTCCCGGTCGAGATTTTTATGACATATCGCTTTCCTGAAATTTTCTAATTGTTGGACTTTTGTTTTATTAATAAAGATCGGTCTGACGTCCAAGATATTGAAAATTCAAGCCCCATCACTCCTGGGCATTGGAGTTCATGTCATCGGATCGCAATCCAGTTGAGATCGACACATGGCAGATATGAAATGATATTTAAGATAACTATACTTATAAAGAAATCGGATATAACTATGAAATCTAATCCCAATAGGAAGCAAAAACAAATATCGCTTTTGACGGCTTTTGCCTATAGCGACCAAATTCCGTCGGTCCGTCTACCGTCACCATAAGCGATTTCTCATATATAACACGACTTTGCAGGCTCTAACACTGTATAATTGTAAAAAATTTAAACAAAAATATTTTTCTAACATTTTTATATTTTTTTTATTTTTAATATATTTTTTTAACTTTGAATTCGCCGTTGCTCGAAATTATTTAGTTAAAAACCCTTTTTGCATGCATTTAAATGTATGAAAAGTAATATAATTGATTTTATTTCGGTATAAAATCGTGCAATTATCTCGATTTTAGCAAAATTTGCATGTATAACAGTTTGTATAACAGTTATAAAAACTGTTATACACCTTTAAAATTGTGCCAAATTATGTGTAATGAGCTTTATTACACATTGGAACATTAAAAATTTATTTCACCAACATGTTTCCTACATAACCAACTAAATTCTGCTATATGTCATTTACCTTTATCCCATACCACAGTACATAGCATTGCAAAAAAACCCCATATCACATTACCACCACCCGCTGTATTTAAAAAAAAGTATATATTCCTCGTTAGAATAACACCCAATAATTATATCAAGTTCATTTTTTTCTTTTGTCTGGGTGATCCTTTTTAGCCTTGGGTGTTCGTTCGGTCATGTCATTTTAACACCCAACATAATATCGATTGGTTTTTTTTCGCTCTGCAATTCAATGTGAAATTGACACCTAAACGACCACCCAATGGAGCAGCCATACATTTTTGGCATTCTATTTTTTTCTCGTCTTGCAAAATTTTCTCTTTGACCATAAAAGCTCAACAGGATACCATTAGGTGCCAGGATTTTTCCAGCAACATTAACCTCACTCATGTCTATGATGTACAGCGCAGCAATCAACCACCTTTGCCAAAGTGATGCAATGGCCTGATACGTTTATTAAAATTCAAAAATTGTCCATGTCATTTTGCACCATTGTGTATTGGAGTTGTGGAATGAGTACGGCGGCAGGTAGGGGGCCATGGCAAAATTTCATAATTTGCTTATGATTCTAAATGTCACAGCGTTAATGGCAAAGACAAGGATAACATTGCCGGCAAGAGATAGTGAGCCATAGCAGCTATCCCTGTTATTGCTTTGGGTAATTTGAGTATGAAATTACCCCAGCATGCATGAGGCATGGGTATCCTCCTCTTTTTTTTCCTGAAAGTTGTCAATTGATGCTAATGCATAATTTTCCATAAGTTTAGAATAGCGCGCGCGTATTTTTTTGCTTTTGGACTTCGCATATTTTGCCATTAGCCGTTGACGATGCTGTCGATGAATGGTCTGGTGTCCTGCTGTGCCAAACAAGCTTATCCTGTTGCGATGCAGACGTATCGTTCATTTTTAAATTGTATGTGGGGCAAAACATTTATTAATTTGAGGCTCATTAAATGTTGATTATGGGTTTCGGGTAAAAGGTGAACGTGTACCGAACCATTTTAGTTTTGTAACGATCTGAACAGGAATAATTCTATTATGGCAGACGTAACGTTGTAGCCTTTCTTTTTTTTTTTTGCAAGAAAGGATTTTTTTTTATTGTTGTGTTTGCGCTTGAATGGAAGCAAACCTGATTTGATTGATTGAGTTTTGTAACAATTTGCCAAACATTTCGCGCTCTTTTCTTCCCTTTTTTGGCATTTACTCAAGGTGTTTCCTTTTGCTCACCCCGGAAGAGTAGTGTTGTAAGGACTTCTTTTTGCTTTCACTTCATACCCTGTAAAAAAGGTAAATTGAAGCAAAAGCATTTGCCAATTTGAAGAGACGCATTAAAAGTCTTCAATTTAAGCTTTTGATTGTGCTAAAGTGTTTGCCCTTCTCTGTGTGTGTGTGTGTTTGTGTGCGTATTCTCATTGTTTAACTTCCAAATCAAATTCAATTTCAATTGATATTCATTCAGTCATTCATTTATTGACTTACTTGGCTTTTTATTTTGCCTTTGCGAAATCTTGTTTTCTTTTCTTGTTTTGCTCTGAATTGGATATCCAATACAATGGAGTGGTAGGTTGGTTGGTTCAGCATCATTTGCCATATAACCCATTGTTTGATTACACTTAACGTTTTGCAAATGTTTACCGAAAATATTGAAATGAAGTTATGGCAAATCGGCAAAATATTTCACCCAAAAAAAAGGGATGAAAACCCATACAAATTTGTCTGGCAATGGAAAATAAGGTCGAAGAGAATAGCCGGGATTGAAGAAATTTTAGCCTTCAGATTTTCATGAATTTAAAGTAGCCTGTGGTCAGTCATATCGATATGTCCCACATGTATCTACGCCCTCGTCATGTTTTTGCCAGACTAGCTGTTGGTTTCTATTACAGCATCATTGTAATTCAATTAGTTTGGTATAATCCACACAACTGCATCATGACATATTGTCTGTATAGTCGGTCGTGTGGTGTTAAATTAATTTGCATATAAAATGGTTATTAATTTTTTTTTTGCGCACTATGAGCAAAACTAATCGCATTTTATTGGATTTTGGGCAATATGTGGTTTTAGGAGAGAATGGCAAATAAAAGTCAATAAAAACGGATGATTAAAAGTCTCTCCACAGGAAAAAAATAAAGAAAGGGATATTTATTTGAATTCCGTACTATTTTATTTATGATATAGTGAAGTGAATTTTTGGAGTATAACAGTTTTGTATAACAGTTATGAAACTGTTATACAAAGTTAAAATTAAGCCAAATCATGAGTTTCGAACTTCTATATATTTCGTTTGTATATTACAATATAATTTTTAGTGTATAACAGTCGTACAACTTGTGTGAACTGTAAAATTTATACTAAAAAAAAAACTTTTTTATAACATTTTAGATCTATAATGGTTTTTAAAATTTGACAAAAAAAAATATTAATTTTTTTTATGTTTTGTTTTTTACTTTACAGATTCTTCAGAATCATTAAACCAACAAACATCTCATCACATTACCAACAACAACAATGGCAACAGCAATCCAACTAGTCCCATACAAACCTCATTATTACCGCACTTACACACCCATTTACATTTGATACCCTCGCATCAATTGGCTTTACATCATCAGCATTTACAACAGCAACATCAGCAGCAGCAGCAACAACAGCAACATTTAAACAATAATCATCTGCAACAGCAACATCTTCAGCACCAACAACAGCAGCAGCATCAACAACAATCGCAACAGCAATCACATGCCGAAAAACGTGAACGTGAAGATTCTCCCGACAATTTAGACAATGGCCTGGATGTTGATAATACCGACGATGATCTGTCGAATAGTCTAAATAATGGTCATGATATGGGTGATATGGAAAGGCCACGTAAAGTTAGAAGGTATGTGAAAATCCTCTTTAAAAATTTACAAACAATTGCAAACAAATAGCGGACATTGTTTTAACATTTAATCTTCTTTTCTCTCTCTCCCCCCGTTCTCGCTCTCTTCTACGTTTTGATAAAAAAAAACTAGATCACGCACCACCTTTACAACATTTCAATTACATCAATTGGAGCGGGCATTTGAAAAGACTCAATATCCGGATGTATTTACAAGGGAAGATTTGGCGATGCGCTTGGATTTAAGTGAAGCACGTGTACAGGTAAATAGAAAAATAATATTAAGTTGCTATTATAAAAAATAATGAAAAGGCAATTAATCAGATAATTTGTTGTTTGGGAAGAGGGGCATGGGGAGAGTGGAAATTAAATGTGGGAAAATCTATTCTAGGAAATTCAGTAGTTTGCACACAAATTATTTAAAGGAGGGAAATGTATTGGGGTTTGTTTATTATCAGAAAAAAGTAATTGGAATGTGAAAATCATGGAAAAAAATGTTAGTATAACAGTTTTAAATGACTTTATTTGCCTTCAAATCATCATTTTATGATGAAAAATTGTTAAAAATGTCAAATTCCGGCGTTTCTTTGCTGTATAACAGTTTTGTTCGAAACTGTTATACACCTCAAAAAAGCTCTAAAATGATTTAAAATTCAAAAATAATTCATATTGGCATACCAAATTAAATTAAATAAATAGGGAAAATTGGGATAATTTTTTTTATCTGCTGCATTAAACTTTAATCTTGGCAAAAAATAAATGTTAGTATAACAATTTTAGATGACCCTATTCACATTCAAATCTTCATTATATGATGCAAAATTGTTTAAAATTTCATATTCCGTTATTTATTTGCAGTATAACAGTTTTGTTCGAAACTGTTATACAGCTGGAAAAAACTCTAAAATGACTTAAAATTAAAAAATAATTCATATTGGTATATCAAATTACATATCTTGATGAGATAATTGGGAAAGTTGGGATAACTTTTGTTTTCAGCTGCATTAAACTTTAACCTTTATTAAAAAAAATCATAATAAACCCTTTACCCTTCCCCATACACTTTTTATATAGTATATCAATCCTCTTTGAATGCCATAATTCGTTACAATTTCAATCTGTAACAAAACCGCTCAAAAAGCGTGACCAGTTTTCAAAATTGTTTTCCAAATTGAACCAGTTATTCACACACACACATGTGTGGATGGATGGCTCAGCCATTGCCAATATAACCCCCGTATGTGTGCGTATGTTTGATTCATCCGCTTGTTTTTTTTCACATGCATCAAATCCGAAAATAATTGCCTTGTTAAGAGAAACAACACAGAAAAAAAAAACAAAAAATAAAAATCGTTTAAAAAATTACGCGGAACCATTTATGATGATAGAAAACAAGCTACAAATTGATACAAAACAATTGACAAGGATTAAATTGGCGCGAGAAATGTGGAGGGGAAACACAACAACACAGCAAGGATTCTGCATATGCACATGGCAAGAGTTGTTTGGCCATACCATAGCGGCATATGACAAGACCAACGTACCAACAAAACAAGGCAAAAAAAACAAAGGCATTAATGCTGTTATACACCATGATGACACGCGATTATCAAATACTCCAGACAACAATCTAACGATTCCATCAATGACCAATTAAATGTTAAAAAACGGATTTCAGAGAATTGAGTGATTTGTATCTATCATGAAACAGATGAAATGAAACGAAAAAAAATCATCAAGGACATGATAAGCTCTTCACAAGGCAAAACAAATTTAACATTGTTGTTGTTGCCGTTTTTTTGGCTCATTGATAGGTCAAGTACATAAATAGCGATTTATAGCAAAACAACAAATTGCCATTTTCCCTTTTAATTCTCATTAAATTGTTTGTTTTTGTCACCGAGGGTATGGTAATATCAAACATCATCACCATCCCATCCATCCCATCATCCCTAAAGTTAAAAGGACATGTCGATGGCTGGGGAGTAAAATAGACTACACTAATTATGTGTGAATTTTTACGAGTTGTTTTGTTTTTCAACCCCCTGTTCAACCCTCACCTTATTTGTGAAAATATTTTAAGCCTGAAAACAATCTTAACACCAGGCCAGAGACCATTTAATCATTTGAACGAATCTCTATTAAATAGCCATTAAAGTAATTGTGTTTCAATGAACTCCGCATAAAAGGAGTGTGTCCGCTTTTCAACCCCAACTCTCTCAGAGGGAAAGAAAATCCAAAGTGTTTTAAAACTATTTCACAAATTACGATTTCAAAATTTGCCATGGTATCTGCAGCATAGTATGCTTTAATATAAACTACTTATTTGCCTTAAGTATGTCTTATGTAAATTTGTTCTGGTAAACAAACAACCTTATGGCGGGTTGTTTCTTTTCGGTAGCTGCTAAGTTTTTCGGTTTACTGTTGCCATGGTATGGGATTTAAGGTGAAAGTTAATTGTGCCCGCATAGAGGCTGTAATTGTTTTAAATCAGATTGAACTGAAAGCAGTTATTATAAAATAGCATAACAAAGTCTCAGAAGCCTTTTTTCAATAAAAAGAGAAAAAATATAATTTTCGTAGAGTAAACCAATTAAATATGGCTGAAAAATAGTCTTAATTGGTTTAATTTATGTTAGAATCGCATTTTTCAACAAATAATGTTATCTTTGCCAGTATAACAGTTTTCTGTGAAACTGTTATATGTCTTAAAATTACTGAAAATTGATTACCAAATCAAATTTAAAGACATAACTTGTGATTTTATTGCCAAATATCTGAAATTTATGCTGTATAACAGTTTTTTTTCCAATTAAACCAATAAAAATGTGTTTTTCTGCGAGCAGATCAATTGAAAAGGGCTAAAAATAATGTCAATTATTCTAATTTATGTTAGAATTGCATTTTTTCGGCAAATAATGTAATTTTTCCCAGTATAACAGTTTTCTGCAAACTGTTATACACCTTGAAAATTACTGGAAATTGACCACAAAACTTTTTTAAAGCATGAAATTTGACTTTTATTGGCAAATTTCTAAATTTTAAGCTGTATAACAGTTTTATTTACAGCCATATTACAGAAAATTATATAAAATATATTAGAAAGTTTATTAAACGTACAGAATTATTAATTTTTGCCATTTTTTGTGTGTATAACAGTTTTGCATAAAACTGTTATACTCACGAAAAAAGACTTCAAATATCACGAAAAGTCTGCAGATTTCATATTTTATACTTAATTAACATATCTCCCATTATTTGCTGCAATTTTCCAAGGAAAAAGTAGGTGTAAATACGTTTTTCCTCGTCTTTCGTTGCTTTGACATGCCAGTTGTTAATAATTGCTTTCTTCCTTTGCTTCTTTTGCTTCTGGCATACATGACAATTATCATGTTAAATTGTGCATTAATAATTGTCCTTGTAACAATTAAAATTGTCATATCATCGTCAGCAACATCATCATTATCCTTGTAGCGAACGTTCTAAAACATTTCGAGAAAAAACTGAGCGGGTGATAATTTCATTCATAGTAAAAATAGTCCTTATTTATCTGTGTGTAGATATCTTTATAAGTGGCTTTTGTCTAATTGCAGCCTCGTGTCATTGTATTGTAAGGCTTTCTTTGGGTTGTAAGGAAGCAACGATGGGTGGATGGATGGATGTGTGGGTGGTTGACAATTTTACTTGAACATTTTCCTGGGTATCCTTCAAAAACGTAGGCAAGTCGTATGCATTGTTCAGTTTCAAAATCTTACAACATAATGTCGTGTGTGTGTGCCTTTCTAACAAAAGTATGACAATAATTTGTAACAATTATTGCCAGGAAATCATTACTAATTTTGCTGTTACACATACATGCATACATACAACTAGTCGTACATTGATGTTCGTTCGTTCGTTAGGCAAGACTGCCATCGATGTTGTCATGTGATGAAGAATCATGTCATAGACCAAATAATGGGTGTGTATGTGTGGTGATAAACGATGCCTAATACTGTTAAGACTGTGTGTTAACTTGTCATTTTCATGTTAAGGACCTGGTATTTTGTGGGCAAATCCGTTGCAAAGGAAGTATAGACAATTGATTCAATTCGGTTACACTTGTGTACAATTGTCAATTGCATTTAATAAGACACAGAGCTGTATTAAGCCCATCCAGCCATCCAACCATCCATGGTCACCCATCCACAATGAGGAAGCCAAGTATTCAAATACCAAGTATTCAAATAATTTCAAAGTCTAACATCTTTGCATTCCATGTGGCTAAGTGTTTGAAGGTAATTTTACAAGAGTTCCATAGATTCACAGGTCCGTCCATGCCACTGGGGGATGATGACTGGCTGGTAGACGGGGGGGATGGGAAGGCAAATCACAGAATTTAACTTCCGATTGGATTCTATTGTCTGTTGTTGTTGCTGTTAGTGGCGAAGGTGGTGTTGCCTGTAACTGTATTAAACTTGGCTCAAAGTGGAGGGGGGTAATGGATTCTGTTAGGCAGGCAGGCGTCGGCACAGAAATATTTTGAATAGATGTATGAAGGGGTTGGTGGGTGGTTGGAGATTTGCTGTGTTGTACAACAATAATTAAAGGGGTTAATTGGCCATTTATTCATTGAAAATTGTTGTGTTGAGTAAATTAGCCGGCTATAGGAAAGAGCCAGCAAGCATTTAAGATAATTGGTTATGCTAATTATTTCGAAGAACAATTTTTTTTAAATACTTTAATATTTTTTAGAAATTTTATCAAATATATTAAATCCTATTTTCATTTTTCTTATCATTTTAGGTTTGGTTCCAAAATCGTCGTGCCAAGTGGCGTAAGCGTGAGAAATTCATGAATCAAGATAAGAATGGTTATTTACTACCCGAACAAGGTAAGTGTTATGCTCCCTTTAGAAAATCCTAACTAATTTAGAGTGGGGTGTAATTAAATTAGAAAACAATAAAAAAATTCTTTCAACATTTGTTGGCTTCCGTTTGTGGTCACGTAATTGAATAATTTATTATAATTCATTTCCTCAATGGCAAAAGCCACAAAAATTAATTGTAATTTAATTAACCCAAGGAAATTTGTTTTTTTTTTCTAAACCCCATTTTTTTAATGAATATTTTTTGTTTGGCAATTTATTAATAGTTTTTTTTTTTCTTTTTTTTCAGGTCTCGCCGACTTCCCCCTGGGCATACCATTGCCACATGGCATTCCCGGCCATCCTGGCGGTTTGCCAGCCGAATTTTGGCCACCCCACTTTGCCTTACATCAGCCTTTCAATCCCGCTCTGTTGCCCCAAGGTCTCATGCCCCACTACAAATTGCCAAATTTCCACACATTACTCTCCCAGTACATGGGTCTAAGTAATTTGAATGGAATCTTCAATGCCAGCGCCTATCCCCAGAATCTCTCTCTGCACAGTACTGCCCAAGTAAGTCCGCCCTGCAGTAACAGTAGTCCACGAGAAAGTCCCACAATTGGTGCTGGCCAACCCGGCACCACAATAGTATCGGGGGGTGTGACGCTGACATCCTCGGCTGCAGCTTCACCCAAATCGCCACTGAATACCACCAACACTGGCAGTGTTAGCGGTAACTCCACACCCGTGTCAGTGGTTACAAAATCCGAAGACTGAAATTAATGCAAAATGGAATTTCACCCAGAAAACATCCACGAAAATAGCCCCAGGCGCAGCTAAATGGACATTACACACTCACACACCAATTGTTTGGTTCTCCAGAGAACTGCATTTTCTTGTAAATAAACCAATTAAAGTTGTTTTGTTTTTTAAATACTTTTTTTCTAATTTCATAATATTTTGTAAAGTAGTAAAACAAAAGTGATATAAACTAGACGATAATTAATTCTTTCTTTTTAAAATTATTTTTTCCATTCCCATAATTTTATATCAAAAAAATTGTATTATAAAAAATTTAATTTTTATTCTAGTTTTTATTAGAAAATTATATATGTTTTTTTTTGTATTCAATTTTGTAAAAAATTGAAACCACATTTTGCCAAACAGTATTGTAAAATAAATCCATAAGTTTAGTTGGCTTTTTAGACACTTACGTAAGATAAAATAATTCTTAGAAGTTTAATAAAAAATTTTGAAAAAAATATTAAAATTAATGGTGTTTAAATCAATTTCTAATTAAAATATTGATAAAAAATCATGAGATGAAATATAGTTAAATATAATTAAAAAAAAAAGAAAAAAAAAAAACAATGGAGTAAAAGAGTACCCGGCAAGAGAGGAATATGCTCGATTTCGAGCGAAATGTGTAATTCCTAGTCTCTATTCATAAAATACTCAATTTTTCTTTTTTTACTCGTTTGAGTACTCCAGCTGGAATTCGAGAAAGTTTCAGTCTATAACTTAAATTTGAGCTAGTATTTCGGGGCACTGGTATATTTGAGAGTAATACCCTTTTTTGGACGCATGATTTTATGGATATTTAAGGATTCTCTTTGAAATAAAGAGACATTCGGGAGAGGTCCTGTGTATGATACCCTGCTCCTGTAAAAGTAAACCTTATGTAATTTCAATCATACCAACTATGTTTCTTATAAAATTTCTGGTTGGATTTAAATGAGGTTTAAATTTTTAATCGGATGAAATTAAAATATCGGAGATAAATCCTTATCTGGATCTATTTCCACAAAATTGGAGGGAAGTATTTTAATGCCGTATGTAAATTCTCATAACGATTGCCATTACTATAGAGTACTTATTATGAATTTAAGTAGCCTTAATTTTTTTAAATCGGATGTCTACTATATATGAGACCAATGGCTATATCTAAGTCGATTTTCACCCAATTCGACATATTTGCTTCTTCACAAAATTCTGTCACATCTGCCAAAAATTCATTCAATTTGAGCGGATATAACACATTTGGTGCCCAATAAATGCGAATTCGAATATAGATATGGGAGTTCCATCCAAATCTGAACCGATTGCGGACAGAGGTGTTTTTTACCTATATCTATTATCCTGTACCGAGTACCAATATTATGGAGTGCACATCACAGCTGTTGCAGTGCACATTACGACTTGCTTCAAAAATATAATCCATCGTATATATCTAAATTTAACCCATTCGGAGTGATTCAATAAACTTGAAATTAGGCATAGATATATGTATATGGGAGCTACATCCAAATCTGAAGCGATCTTAAGAACATTTGGCAAATGTATTTCTAGTCTATGTCTGATATCTTGTACCGAGTATCGTCGTTGTGGTGTACATATTATGTATGGAGTACATAAATATGGAAGCTGTAGCTGTGTTTCTAGGCAGAATCCAGTCAAATGGGGCAAAATCTAGTTAATTCTGTCTTAAAAATAGTATTTGATGCAAAATAAATGTGAAATCGGGAGAAGGTGTATATGAAAGCTGTATCCAATCCTGAAACAACAATCATCTCTTTCAACAGGGTTCGTCCTTTACACAGACAAATGAATCAGCTGGGGTTTTGTTTTCCCTCAATCGTTTGTAGGAATTGCCTCAAAATCTGATGCTATGCTAAGCACTAAAACAAATTACAGCCTAAGTCTTATGTTACAAATACTGAAGGAAAGTATAAAACGAGGTGAACATTTTCATCGAAATGCTTAAGAGTTTTTAGAGAACGGAGCAAAAACAAAAGAAACTTCGGAGTCTGAGTCTACTGTGTAAAATTGAACAAGGTGGAGGAATACACTGTGTGAGAACTGAAGTGCATTCCAGGCAGGGAACACAGAAAGCAGAAATTGATAAACCGGTCGCTATTTTCGTGGATAGCCAGACGGCTTTATTAGCCATCGACTCTTAAAAAATCAGTTGGTATTTAGTACGAAAATGTGGACAGACACAAAGCATTCGGGATGTGTCGGTTACTAGTTCATGGCAATATTGAAAAAAAAAACGAGAGGGCACGAATGGCTCAATTTTTTTCGAACAATGCTTTATATCTGTATTGAACCATGGTGGAAGGTATCAGAATAAATTTGGCAGGATATCTCTGTGCAAAATCATGAAAAAATACTTAAAAAGTATTAGTCGGTTTTGCCGACGGATGTATACACTCAGCGATTATTTAAATATTTTTTTTGAGTTCTGTGGTGATTATTCAAATTATTGGCCCTCTATGGAGTAAGTTTCTGAGGAATGGGCCAATATTGTCCATTTCGTGTCGGACCTAAATAAATACCATATTGGATACTTCCTTCACTTTATATGAAATATGTGACAATTTTTAGAAAATGTAAAAAAAAATTGTGACCCTTTGTGGGTGAGGTACCAGAAGCGGTTCGCAGATATATATCATCTTGACAACAGATCTTGTGTTAGCAAAAATGATTATATATATGAAATTTTGAGAGAGTTGGATGCTTATTTTGCTTTCTTTGAGCGTTTTGTATTTTAAAATCTTCAATCCTATGTGGGGGAGGTACCAGAAGAAATGGTCCGATCTCTACCATCTTCATAACAGATCTTGTTTGGATAGAAATATTGAGATGTACAAAGTCTGAATGGAATCAGATGTTAATTTCGCGTTCTATGAGCTTCAAAGATATTCAAAATTTTGAACCTTTGTGTGGGAGGTACCAGAATGAGTGGACCTATATATCCCATCTTCATACCAGTCCTTGGGTTAACAAAAATATTGTGATGTGTATAATTTGAATAGAACCGGATGCCTATTCCCGATTTTAGGTTTTTTTTGGTTTTTCAAAAATTTGACCCATTGTGGGGAGGTACCAGAAGGAATAGTCCGATATCTACCATAATTTTAACAGATCTTTGTTGATAGATATTGATTGAGATATGCCAATTCTAAATTGATTGGGAAATAAATTTCGCCTTTTGTGAGTTTCATGGATATTCAAAATTTTGAACTTTTGTGGGGGAGGTACCAGAAGGAATGGGTCGATATATTTCATCTCCACACAAGATGTTGGGTTAATAGAAATATTTTATAAGATATATAATTATTCAAAATGTTTACCCTTTGTGCGAGACGTTCTTGATGGAGTTGACAATATTGTCCATTTCCGCACCTAAACTAACACTGATGAAAATATTAGGATTAGCAAAATTGGAACAAAATCGTATTATCCTTTCTCTTTCTGTGCAGTAAAATATTTTTTTTTGAACATTTTTACCTTTTTTGGGGATATACTAGGAGGATTTGATGGATATTGCCCATCTCCGAACTCTATTTAAGTTTAATAATAATATTTCGATATACCAAGTTTGGACCAAAGTGAATACTCCCTTCGAGAGTTATCGTGCGCAGCAGCCAGCAGACGGACAGACAGACGACGGACATCGCAAGATCGACTCAAAATGCCCTGATACGGATTTGGTCCAAAGAGACCGAGGGTCTAAACCCGCTATTACGATGAGGCACGTTTTAGCCGTATCAATTATACGATTAATATACCTCTTATACGATTATTATACCTCTTATACGATTATTATACCTTTTATACGATTATTATACTTCTTTAGCCATATGGCTGAGGGTATAATAACGCTGCGGCCGATGACAATAATTCCAACAGGTCAGCAAAATAACTACGTCAGAGTCTATATATAAATAAATATTGATCCATATATCATCTGTAATTTCGTAATAAGGCTTAACTGGCCCTGGTTCCGGTGTAATACTTGACATCTCTCATCTTATTCTTCCTTTTCCAACGACAGACAATCTTAATATTTCTCAACATTGTTTTCTCGTAAACCATATAATTGCTCCTGTATCTAAGATCGATCGTAATGGACCACAAGGATTTCGGAATGAGTAACTATAAAAAAATTAGTTACATGTCTTCGGACCTAACCTCGAATTTTGACTTTTTGTGGGAGATCTACCCGAATATATTGCCTTTTTAAGCACCTTATATAAGAGGCATACAAATATTACGATTTATGAACTTGGTACTATTTTGGACTCGCTTTATATGAGCTACATAAATATATATTTTGGAGAAATGTATGTCAACGCCGCACCAAAAAATTATTTTTGATGAACAAATCTTAGGCAGCGCATTAAGAAAATACCACCTGAACTTTGACGTTACTGATATGCTTCATAACTCTCTATTAAAAGCCGGGCGAAACAATGAAAAGGGAAACAACCCTCATGCAACAACGACAACAACAATAAAATATTTTGTAACAACGTTAATCCGAAAATTATTAACAAATGAAAAATCAATAACGACAGCCAAATCAAAACGAAACAAAAGTAATAAAATTGAGATTTCGTTTTTGACGAAACAGAAAAAAATCTTCGGGTAATTCAAAGGCAGAAAGCGCTAAACCGAGACGGAGACGAAGCAAGAGATCAACAAATGAAAGAATGAATGCCTTTGGAATAATAAATAAAAAATTGGCAAATAACAAAAAACGAATCTATCTTCATCAGCAACAATCAAAGTAAGAGCAGATACAAATACATACGTACTATACAAGGTCCTTTAACTGTTGCAATGAATGGTATACGTGTGTGTGTGTGAAGTGTAAGATGTTACTTGGCGGAACAATGGCAATGGCTGGCTGGCATTGTGAGAGGGCCTCAAGTGGAAGTACTTAATTCTGTTCATTAAATATCCTGGCTCGAAAACAGAAATAATGAATGGGAACGCGTTTTCATTACATTTCGAAATTCAATCAACGTCATCATCTTTGGTAGCAGCAGCAACAACAACAACAGCAGCAGCAGCATGATTTCGATATGTTTTGTGTCATAAATGTAGCATTTGTTTAAGAGTTTTAATAATCTCAAGGATGTGTTGTAAACCAGCCGAAAAGTTCCTTTGCCATTTGGCATGTGAGCACAAGGGCATATATGAATGTGTATATATGTGTGTGTGTCTTAGTGCCAGTATAGTCTGCAATCGCTTCTACTTTTAGG